CTGCAACTCATATAAAACCAGGTCTTCTTCTTCACCACCAAAATCATGTGGTTGCTCATTCTCAACATGTGTAACAATAGATGTTTGTAAGTCCATAATCACCAAATATCCTATGTACTCTACAAAAATTCAAAAAATTATTGCCATAGAAATTGACTAAAAATGGAATGAAGAGAAGAGATTGACAGAGGAATTGTCGTGCTACAGGGGTTGGCGCATCAGAGATATGAAGAGGAAGATAAGAAAAAGAAGAGATTACCTGCCGGCTTGTAAGAAGGAGAGCGCAGAAAAGGGAGAAGAGAGCGGGTCGCTGCCGCGGAAGAGCAGATCCAGAGCAACATAGAGGAAAGGAGAAAAAAAGAAAAAAAAAAGAAGGAGAAAAGGTAAAAAAATACCTTAAATAGGGAGGCAGCAAAGGAGGCATGGGTGGGTGCACTGTAGCACGGTCCTATTTTTTAATGTACATTTTAGAAAAATTTTACTACCTATTATGTAGTTGAGATTTGCGGATAAAAGAGAGGTTGGAGAGAAATAATATGAATGTACTGACACCATAGGTTCAGAATCTGACCGAATGAATTACAATACTTTTTATTAGTTTAATTATAATAAAGTAATAATAACAACATTAAAATTAATAATAATAACAGGAACAATACTATTTCAAATTATTATAAACACACACATACTTCTATTATGCATTCTTTACTATGTATCACACGTTGATAATGGTATTCTAATAAATAATATTTTGTATTCCATATATAGTAACAATATCAAACAAAATACATTTTATATATTAGTTGTTCTTGAATTTACACATTTTTATAGTTATTATATCAAACATCTAATATTTTAACACATTATTTTATTTTTAAAAAATTTATTTATTTTAATTTTTTAAAACTTTTTATCGTGCGGACTGGGCCGGCCTAAAGCCCACGGGTATCCATGCGTGCCGGGCTCAGGATTCAATTGTTAAGCCCGCTCTACAGGCCGGGCCGGGCTCGGGCTTAGAAATCTCTCTTAATGTATCGTCTCGGCCTTGTCTGAAACTCGGTCCGGCCCGCACTTTGATCCGGTCTAAATAGTAATAATAATTATAATCATAATAATAATAGTAATAATAATAATAATGGTAATGATTATAATAGTAATAATACTACTAATAATAAGAATAATGATAATTTTGTTTGGAACTAATTTGATTAGACCCAATTTGATCTGATCTGGTCTAATCTGATTAGATCTAATTTCTTTGGATCTGATGTAATCTCGCTTGCCTAATGCTCTAAAAGTGCACATGCCTTTTGCTTACACCATAAAGAGTATATTGTGATATTTGTGACAGATTGGGAAAATGTAACCGCCAACAAGCCTTGCATGGTAATGGGTGGCCTTTTCTGGTGGCAAACCTAACTTGATATCTCATTTTAATATCAATGGCCACTCTCTAGGTACATTGATTCTCAAATGTGACCGGATACAATTCTCTTCCGGGAATGCTGTACACCATACCCCCCACCCATTCTCCTAATTTATCAATATTATTTTTTTTATTTAATAAACTTCATATCTCAATTTATCAACATTATTTCTAATTTAATCTATTCATTGGAATGATTAGACATTATTTGGGATTCTAGATTCTATTATATATGGCTTTAATTATATTCACATATCACAACATATTAACAAAATAGAGTAACTGTGTTCTATAAATGACTTTTGTTTTAAATAAACGGTCCAGTACAAGCAAGGTGTTCAATGCATGTTAACCCTACGGTGGATAACCCACTACATACAGACCCAATGAAAATCCAATTTGAAGCCAATCCAATAAGTCTAAATCTACTTCCTTAGGAGTTACTCATCGTTTTTGCTACTTTAAAGCCAACACGCTTAACTCCCTGCAGCTACGCCCAAAATTGTCCATTTAAGGATCGAACTCGGGCGATAAGATTCCTCATCTCATAGTACTATTCCCGTTTTAATTTATAATACTCCGTATTTGACTAAAAATCTAAAATTGTGTTAAAACTTAATTTCTATGATTTTGCAAAAAAAAAAAAATCTATGAAACATGACTCCCTCCGCCCCAAAGTTATCTTAACATATAACTTTTAGAAAATGCTAGAGTCACACACATATGGTTCACAAACTTCACAAACCTGCCTTTTGTGGACTTTAAATTAAAATATCTTTTATTATTTGAGTGCATCTTATTTCTAGAAAAGTGTTAAAAAGGCAAGTTTGTGAATTTTCTGAAATGTTTGTTTATGACTCTAGCATTACTCATAACTTTTTGCGGTCACCAATACAATATTTTGAACAATTAATAAATATAATTATACACAAACAAAGTTATAAATTTGATATTTCAAAACGTGAGTAAATTTTAAAATGAAGCCATTAATACAAAATTCATATTATAATGAAAAAAATAAATATAATTTGTGGTCAAAATTTGTAAAATTCAACCAAATATATTAAAATGTAAAAATTGTTTTACGGAGTATAAAAGAGTAAAAATATGATCTTTCAAAATTACATTTCCAAATGAATCCATTAGTATTGAATTTGTATCACAATTTAGTACTCCGGTATATTTTCTCTATAATTTGAATTGAAATTTAAAAAAATGTTAGACCATAAAAGTCAACAAATCCGGAAGAAAAATATTCCCTCCGTCCGCCTAATATGTTCTCATTTTAATTTTTGGTGATTTTTAAGGAGAGTTGAAAAAAGGTGAAAGCTTACCATAATACGCTTAATGAAAAATGGGTGGAGTGTATTAAATGAGGTGGGTGAGGTGTAATAAATAAAGTAAGTGGGGGTAGTTGTGGTATTTTACTTGTTAAAAAATGAAATGAGAAGATCTATTGTGGATAAAGAAAAAAGGCTATTGGAAAGATCTATGATGGACAGAGGCTATTGGAAAGATTTTTAGAGAAAAAAGGCACCCAAAATTATTTCACGTTGAAATTCAACGAATCAACATAGGCTTTGAGAGGTCCAAAAAGTTCAGAATCTTCAAACAACAGCGAGCAATCTTCAGAGTTTGGAAATTTCAAACAGACAAAAAGATAGTTTATCTTCATCCAATTCATCATATGATCCACCATTTATCAGATCAGATTGCAAATTTGTTTCTCACTCATAACTACACAGACTATGAACATTATCATTCCCATTCATTACACGAAAATTTCAGACTGCAAATAAACGCCTGAATGCAAGCAAGATGAAAAAAGTTGAAGAAAACAATCAATTTTCAACGCTTTAGGAGGTTTTAATCAAAGTTGATTGATTACTGTACAAGTATTAAGATCTGAGCTAAAAATCAAATCAGGACATGAACTTCTGCAGAGCTACCAGCACTGATCCGTCTCCCACTTCCTATGAGTGGATCTGAAAACGGAATATCCTCCGTCTGTAGCCACCGCCGCTGCCGCAGAGAGCCGAGATCGGAACAGGGAGCGGTCGTAACTGGCGCGCTTGTCCGGATCGGAGAGAGTGGAATACGCGGCGTGAACTCTGATGAAATCCTCTGACATGCTGCCGGGCGCCACGTCGGGGTGCAAAACCCTAGCCAATCGCCGGTACGCCGCCTTGATCTCCTGGCCGGTGGCCTCTGTCCGGATCCCCAGGACGTCGTACAGAGAACGCGTCGAGGCGACATTGGCAGTCCTCTCGGCCGTCGAGCAGGAGGCGGATACGGAAACCGGACGGCGGAAGGAAACACGCCGCTGCTGCGGCGGAGGAATCACGGCGCCGAGGAATTGAGAGGAGAGAGGGAACGAGGCGGTGGAAGCCATTTCGAATTCTGATTGGATCGTTGAGATTTCGTTAGGGATAGAAGATGGATGGAAGCTTATGGATGGAGAAAAGTATGCTTCGAAGGGGGCGTGTTATATATAGTCCGGGAATGGAAGAAGAAGGTTTTTGCTTATTGGGCCTTAGTTGGACTTATCCATAAGTAGGGCCCATGTCAATAATGTTCTAGATAAGAGGAAGCTACAATGTTGTGACTCAGCATTTCATCTGGAAGAAAAAAAATCCGTCGATCGTCTTAAAATTGGGCCTACCATGGATTTTGGATACTATGTGCTGGCAAATACTACGTATATCTTAGGCCTTGTGTTATGGGTAGGGGTGGACACGGATGAGGACGGTCCAGATTTTAGATTGTCCAATGACTTGTCCCGTTATAATACACGGTCCGGAACAATTCGGATTACAATCTTATTCCGGTTTGTCCCATAAAATTCAGGATCGGAATAAATCAGGACAGATTCAGATCGTCCTACTTTGTCCTAATCACAAATATAAGAAGGGGGAGAGAGTGACATTTCATTCAAAAAAAAAGAAACATTTAACCATCCAACAAAAAACAATGAGTGGAACGAGTCTAAATAAATTTCAATTTTCAAGCATATGAAGTTAACTTAATTAAAGAACTAATTAATTAAAGAGTGAGTGTATTTGAATTTTGGGCTAGAATTAGTATTATATATTAGTAGAGTAGATGAAATGGGACAAACGGGACAGATTGGTATAGATTTAAGCTATCCCACTCATGTCCCTTGATATTGGGACAGAACGGGTTCGGGATAAAAAAAAATGTGTCCCAATATACTGGTACAATTACAGAACGAATACAAGATTTTTTGGAACGGTCCAGCGGGAACGGATTTCATGCCCACCCCTAGTTATGGGACGTGAAGAGAGGGGTTTGACTACCCGTCCTGGGGTTTGACTGCCCATCGCTCAACCCCTCCGTTCGCCATAACACACCACATGTGATGGGGTGCGGCTCCTGGGGCTGTGATTGCAATCACGCCAATTTTATTTATATTTTTTAATTCTAACTAATTAATATTGCTTTATTTTTGTTTCAATTAATTAAAATAGTTCACATTTTTGCATTCTATCACTTTCTTTCTAATTAACTATAATATTCAAATTTTCATCATTCTACATCATACTTCTTTACATATATTAAGCCTCGTCAAACCCACGTCTAACGCTCTCATAAGGCATGATCTTAAAGCATCTCCAACCATTTCTACCAAGTTTAAAACTAAAATGCAAAAATATCAAATCAAAGAATATTTTATTTCTAACTCATTACATCAAACTCAAAACACAAAAATATTTTTTCAATTTCACACAATTTTTACACTTCACTAATTTAATAAATGAAGAACTGTATATTTTTTTGTTTACAAAATTTAAAAAATGAAATACTTAACTAGAAATTGCAAAAGCTAAAAGAAATCAACGCGAAAAAAAAACTAATACAAAAAAATGCAATGGTGATTGGGTTTGTGTTTGAGAATTGAGACACCATTAGGGGAAAGGGTATTGCAAAAGTGAGGATGTACAATACTCTTGAAGATGTCTAAATAGTTAGGCCCCGTTTGGTACACGGAATTCAAATTATAGAATTGGAATTGAAGACTTCAATTCTAATTTTGGTGTTTGGTAGCACAAAAATTATTTAGATTTGGAATTGATAGTGCAAAAAATGAATTGAAATTGGTGAATTCAATTCTATGAAATTGAATCTCATGGAATTCTAATTCCAATTCAATTCCAATTCCATCAATTCTGTGTACCAAACGGTTACTACAAAATATTTTAAGATCTTCAAATTATAGTACTATGGGGCGTATGAACACTTTTTCGAACAATGTCAAATTCTTTTGTGAAATGTTTGGAAACTTAGATTTAGATTTCAAATCCGAATTTAGTTTAAATTTCATATTTAGAAAATTTAAATAAAACTTTGAGTCAAATTATCCTCATGATGTGTTCCTATTTCCATTCTAACCATTAGTAAAAATAAGTTATTTAGGTTTGTTTTAATTGAGAATTATGCTGAATTAAAAAATGGCAAACTTTCGAACCAAATGAAATAGACAAAATAGTGTTATTATTAAAGAGCCTGTTTGGGAATAGCGTTAGCTATTAGCGTTAGCGTTTTGAAAAAGCTATCTACGGGCAGCGTTTAGCGTTAGCGTTTTCAAAATAATCTACACCGTTAAAATTTTATCCAAAACGCTAACGCTAATCTCTAACGTTATTCTCAAACAGGCCCAAAGTAAGAGAGGGTTCCATACTTCCACTCTCGTGATATCAACAGGTAATGTGATGCATCCCGCCAACAATATTGGCCGAATGGAAGTGACATAATAATAATAATAATAATAATAATAATAATAATAATAATAATAATAATAATAATAATAATACTCACTCTTTCCATAATTGTCTTCCACTTTTAACTAAACACGACGATAAAAAATAAAATTTATTTAGAAAAAACACAAAACTTTGCCATTATTTGCTTTAAAAAAAATTAAACTTACCAAAAATAGTGGGAACTAAAGAGAATAAGATGTACAAGAATAAAATTCTGAAACGGTCCTTTGTGATCTAACAAATTCTAATTATAAAACTTTCAATTTATCAACACTTTTTTTTAAACTATGCAAAACTAAAGCGATGAAGATTTTTCCCGGACAAGAATAGAACAGAGAAAATATTACGTTAACCCCAAAAATGACACCAAGATTGACACCAGACCCGAGACCATCATTGTCGATAAGACCCCGACATTGTCAACCTCGAGCCCGGAGCAGGTTTGGACGAACTGTACTGTCAAGGAACCAACTCAACCAAAAGCTCAAGCTTGTGGTTGTGGCCCAGGAACAGTTATTTATATTCTAACACGCCCCTCACGTGCAGGCGTAGTTTTTTTTCGAGCCTTGCACGTGAAACCTTAATTTTTTTAAACTGGGTGGCGCTGAGTTTCGAACACGTGACCTTTTAGTCAACGAGGCTCTGATACCATGTCAAGGAATCAACTCAACCAAAAGCTCAAGCTTGTGGTTGTGGCCCAGGAACAATTATTTATATTCTAACATGTACGTTCATGTACGTTTAGCAGAGAGCCTGGAGCAGATTTGGACGACCCACAGATTGCATTTCCACCTCCACGAACTCTTGCAATACAAAATGCTGCACCCTGCAACAAGCCCTGCAATGAACCCAGCACCCAAACCAGAAAAAAACCAAACCACTTCACCATCATCACCACCATCATCATCAAGGCCTGATGTTTCCTTTTGGGGTTCATGTGGTGGGGCTTTATCATCACCACCATGGCAGCTCCCTAATGGAGGACCGCAGAGACCACTATTTCCAACGTAGGATGATTTGTCAAGGGTTTGAAGTTGGGTTCCTCGTGGAATAGGGCCAGACAAGTTGTTATAGGACAAATCCAAGTAGCTGAGGAAGTTCAGACTGGAAATGGCACGAGGGATCGCGCCAGAGAATTGATTTCTGGACAGGTCAAGAGATTCCAATGCTGCCATGTTGCCAATGCTTGGAGTTATCTGCCCGTTTAAGTTGTTCCTGGAGAGGTTCAGATTTTGCAGCAGCCAAAGGCCTGTTAACTCGTGAGGGATTTGTCCTGAGAGATTGTTTCTTGAGAGATCAATGGAAAATAGAAACCGGAGTGTCTTGGAATAAAAGAGCTCTCTTCCTTTCATGTAGCCGAAAACATTCTCAACATATTGAGGGTCTGCAACATTGGGGCTGTCATCTATCCCAAAATCCCACTGAGGTCCCTCAACTCCATTGACAACCATGCCGGTGAAATTGGAAAAACAAGCTGGGATTTTCCCAGACAGTTCATTGTTTGCAACATTTAATATGCGAAGAGAGGAGAGGGTGCAAAGCTTCAGAGGAACCTCGGAATTGAACCTGTTGGAATGAAGATTGAGCACCTTTAATGAAGACCAGTTTTCACCAATCCATGAAGGAATGGCCCCATCTAATGCATTCTGACTAAGATCAAGTACGCTTAAGTAGCTCAAATCCTTCAAAGATTCTGGGATCTTTCCATGCAAGCTGTTGTTCTCTAAGTGCAAGGATTGCAGACCAGTCAAAGAACCCAAATGAGCTGGAATTGACCCACTGAAATGGTTGCTTGATAGATCTAACACTTCTAGATTCCATTGCGAACAAGCTGAAGGAAGTGTTCCTGAGAATGCAAGAATCAAAATGAATGAACGAGTGTGTAATATATGCATATAGATACAAGGCAACTAAAGAACTACACAGAGATTGTAATAAGTAATAACCATGCTTAATACCTGATAGTTGATTGTCTGACAAATCAAGGATAGTTAAACTCCGTATCTTGCAAAAAGAAGCTGGCATGCTTCCATTGAGACGGTTGCCTGAGATGCGCAAATATTGCAGGTTTGGCATTGTGGCACCAATGTTTTGTGGAATTACGCCGTGTATCATGTTATTGGAAATGTCAAGCATATTTATATCAGACGAGAGGTGAGGTAAAGGGCCCTGAAAACGGTTGGAGTTCAAAAAGATGCACCTAAATGGATCAAGAGCTGAATAGTTTCTCAACTCGGGCAAGTTTCCCGTAATAAGGTTGTGGGAGAGATCTAACCATTGAATACCAGAAGAAATGTCTCCGAACCAACTTGGTATGCTACTAGAAATGCTAGCATTTGACATCATCAAGACTGTAATGTTTACCTGTTCCTTTAGCCACAGAGGGAATTTGGGCCCTACTTTGGTAGACGATAGCGAAACGAGTTCGAGTTGAAAAGGTGGGACCCATGCAGGATCAATGTCAAAACTCAACAATGAGTTCCGACGAATACTTAATCGTCTCAAGCTCCTAAGGTTTGACAAGTGAAGCTCAGTTACTTCACCACACAATGAGTTGTTACCAAGATCAAGAGTTTGAAGGCTGGAAAGCTGCCCCAGACTTTTTGGAATGCTTCCATTCAAAAGGTTATCAGCAAGGTGCACTTCCTTTAAACGTGAAAGTCTCCCAATCGATGTTGGGATTGGACCTCCGATTGAATTACCAGAAAGGGCCATAAATTCCAGGTTTTTCATCCGCCCCAAACCATTTGGTAGACTGCCTTGAATAGAGTTTTGAAAAGCATTAAATATCTTTAGTTGTTCAAAGTCGCCTAACTGATTTGGAAGACTCCCGCTTAAACTATTGCTTTCAAGAGTCACAGACTCCAAACTTCTTTGGATGCAACCAAATGGGTTGCCAAATAATGTTGACATACCGCCGACAAAACTGTTATAATCTAAATCAAGTTTGCGCAAGTTGCATAGGCCACTCAACTCCACGGGTATTTCTCCAGCCAGATGATTGCTAGATAGGACTAGAACTGAAAGCAACATCAGATTGCCAATCTCCCTGGGGACGGACCCCAGAAGATAACAATAACTCAGGTCTAGATGCTCAATGCTGCTAATGTTAAACAGCCATGATGGGACGGTGGAGTTGAAGTTATTCGAATCAAGGATGAGAGTTGAGAGCGATGTAAGGTTACCTTTTGAAATGTGGGGAGGGAGTTTGCAACCAGATAAGCGCAACTCAGACAGAGATGGGATCCTACTAAGATCATGTAACCAGTCGCTCGCATTGGCGAGGTCTATGCTTGACATGTCTAAATATTTCAAGGAAGAAAGTGTGGATAAGAAGAAGAGGCCGGTTTCAGCACTCAATTGTTCTGAACGAAGATCAAGATACTGCAAGTTTGAAAGATTGCCCAGACTGTGGGGGATGTTGCCCATGAACCTAGAAGAAGAGAGGTTGAGATATCTTAGCTGAGCTAAAGAACCGATAAAGTTGGGAATTCGGGCTCCTGAAAAATCATTCGTGCTGAGGTCCAGGTAACCGAGGCGAGTCAAATTGAGTAGAGAACTGCTAATCTCACCTCCCACTAACCCCGAGCTGGTTTCATCTCTATTCCTGAGGTCCAGCTTAACGATATTACTGGTTATGTTGTCACATATAACGCCGTCCCATCTGCAGCAATTGTCTCCCGTCCAAGAAGATAACCGGTTCGAATCATCCATGAGGCCTTGCTTGAACTCCAAAAGAGCCAATCTCTCACTCGTGATGCAACCCGCTGTTGAACCAGCTCCAATGCAGCAGCCGGTACTAAGACTTCCCATCACAAATAACAGCAAAACAAGGATCCCAAGCATGTTATTGCCAGAGATTTCCATGTGCAGAGAACAGAGTAAAGATTCAGTTCTTGTTTAGAAGAAGATGGTGATCAAACAGATCAATTTCATTTGCCAATGAAGAATCAATTCAAGCCAGGTGAAGAAGAGTTTGTGGCCTCAAACTAAAGACCAGGTCAGAATGTTAGGTAGAAGTAACCGTGTTCTTCAACGGTTGAATCGTGATAATTAATGGTGTTCTTATAGGTCCAAATAATAATAATAATAATAATAATAATAATAATAATAATAATAATAATAATAATAATAATAATAATAATAATAATAATAATAATAATAATAATAATCCAGAAATGAATGTAATTAGAGATCCTTGCGAAATGCACAAGCTTAAAGGTAATATACTACACATGAGGATATATATACAGATTGTAAAAGAAGAATTGAGAAGTTAGTGATTGAAATTTCTTAGCTTTTAAACTTCTGTGTACATGAAAAGTAGAGAGGTAAATGTATGAACCCTAGTTGGCCGAAAAAAAAAAGTAATGCACGGGAACCTGGGCGTGTGTCCCTTTATATGGAAATAGTTGCCGGTTTTGGCTGAGGCTGCGGCTGCGGCTGCGGCTGCGAACAAGGCGGAAGCAGGGGGATGAGGCGGCTGAGGGGGAGAGTTTATTTTTGGTGGAGTTTACGTTTGGCATTGTAGTCTAAAAAGGATTAGACCGGCCTCCAAACCCTTAGACTCCTGTGAACCTGGTCTACCACTAGAGCTACAAAACCACTTGGAACTAAGGGAGCATTGTGTTCGTCTGATCTTTATCTGATCTAATTTGATTTTTTAAAATATTGATCTAATTTGATCTTATTGAATCTAATAGTAACAATACAATAATTATAATCATATTAATATTAATAAAAGTATTAATAATAGCAATATTAATATTAATATTAAAATTAATAATAGTAATAATTATAACAACAATAGTAATAATAATAATTATAATCATAATAATAGATTTGATGTATTTCACGAAGATCATATCACTAGGTAGTAATAATAGTAAAAAAGATAGTTGGAAGATCATATCACTAGGTATGTAAATGATGCATTTGCAAGGAGTGATTCATCTCCTTGGGGGACAAGCAAGGAGTGATTGCATTAGCCCCAACTCCTTTCTCCTTGATCGATGGTGCCTTTCCATTGCCGCCCTGCTTTAGTTTGGAACCTATTTCACCCTCGGGCCTCCCCTCTCTTATGTATATAGTTGTTTCTTCTTCTGTCTGCACGTAGCGATTCATTGGGATAAGTTGTGTGTTCCAACGAGGATTAGTTCATTCATTTACTCATTATAGTTATTATATCAAATATCAAATATGTTAACTCATTATTTTATTTCATTTTTCAAAAAATATTTTTTTAAACTTATTTAGAAGTTTTTGTCATGCGGGCGAGCGGGCCTGAAATCCGCGGGTATCCATGCGGGTCGGGATGTAGCTTCAATTGTTAGACCTTCCGTAAGGGATGGGCAGGACTCGAGCTTAGAAAATTCTCGTAATATAGTGTTCCCCCTTTCCCAAAACCCAACTTGCACTTTGATCACGTCTACTACTATGTTATGATTTGGGACAAAAAATAATATTACAAAGATGTATTAGGTTCTAAGTGACAATATTTACATAGGGAGTTCTCCACATATGATTAAGGAGCATGCCATTACAAGCAGGATTGAGAAATCACAGAATAACCAGATCGAGTATCCCATAGTCTTATATTCGCGTCCACACATCCAGTGGAAGCAACATACCATGCACTAAGCCATGCCAAACAAGTCACTCCATCCTGTCCACATCATATAAGCTAATGTTTATTTTCAACCAGAGTAGAAATCTTCCTTACCAACATGACCAGTGCACAGAATGGTCAATTTCCTTCGGAGCTGTCAAATTAAAATAATTACCAACTTCATTAATACACTGAACTCAAAAACACTCAATCTCGATTTTAACATTAGATATGAGTCGGAGATGCGCAAAAAATAAAGAGCTTTGATGTATAGAAATTCACACACAATAAGAGATGAAACATTGTGAAGAAAATAATAAGAGGGAAAATATTCTGTATATTGAATTGTTCTGCTAAGTACAAGGAGTTTCTCCTTTATTTATAGGAGAGGATAAAATAAAGACCAAAACACAAAAGGAATTCTATTCCTACAAGGAAACAAATCACTAAATATGAACAAGGAAACAAATCAAGAGCAATCCCACTTAGAATGGGATTTGCTCTCCTTCTTGCCGTGTGGTCCAAGGAGCACCGCCCAACAC